TGATATAAAACCTTGATAAAAATGCACTTTTAAGTATTAATCACAATCTACCTTAAGTAAAATACATAAAGGGTGATAATATTTTTCTTTTTGTATAACCAATCTCAGACCATATAATCTTTGTTGATTAGTTAGAGTTCCTAGTAACCATAATACTAGGTATCGACTCCTTAAACTAAACCTTTTACCTTAAGAATAAGATGTTAGATATCTGTTTTTCATATTTTTAGAATTTTTTTAAAAGATCATTGTGATGTCAGGTGCAACAAAGGATACTCATCCTAATGCTAAAATAGAATCAATAGATATTTTATTTTTTCAAGATATGCTTTCATTAAAAAAAAGCGCAAGAAAACAATTCAATGAAGAAAACGATTAAAGCTAGCTTAAGTAGTCATCATCAATTGAAAGATGATGAAGTTGAGCCTAAAACGAGTAAAAAAAAAAACAAAATGATTATTCCTGATTTTTTAATATACATGTTAGAAAATGAAACTCGAACATGTTTTAAGATAATGTTTTATCCTAAAGCTTCTTATTAAAATAAGGTAATTGATAGTGAAATTGAATGAATTATAAATAATTCATACATTGAAACTAATGGATCTTTCACTTGAAAATAAACCATTAGAACATAAATGGATGTTAAAAAAGAAATGAATGTTGTTAAAGTAAGACTTATTGTTAAAGGATTTAAACAACATGAAGGTATGGATTATTTGGACACTTATTTATCGATATCATGAATAATTTTCATTTGAATATTGATAGCTATCACAACTAACAACAAACTTGAAATACATCAAATAGATGTAAGAATATCTTTCTTAAATGGTGACCTTGACAAAAAGATAGAACAACTCAATGGGTTTATTATAATGAATAAGAAAAGAAAGTCTATAAGTTTGTGAAGTTGTTATATGGTTTAAAATAATTACTTAAATAATAACATAAAAAAATTGACAAGGTTTTATTGTCAAATAAGTTTCAAATTAATAAAATTGATAAATATATTTATATAAAAAATAGATATAAATTATGTCATTATATATTTCTATATTGAAAACATGCTAATGTTACGTAGCAATGATCATATGATTAGTATATTGAAAAAATATTAATTAATAAGTATGACATGAAAAATTTGGGTGTTGGAGATGTTATAACAGGAATAAAAATTCTAGTGCATCTAATGAATTTATATTATTCCAATCTTATTATATCGAGAAAATTGTCGATAAATTTTCAAAAGTGTTAATAGCACTGTCAAAATAAAAACTGATATAAGTTTACATCTATTTAATATAGATATAAGAGAATAAATTAATTAGAATATTTCAAAATAATTAAAAAATCTAATTTATGTCATGAATTGTATAAGACATGATATTACTTATCCGATTACCAATGATTAGAGTATCAATCATTGAAAAGCAATAAAAGAAATAGTCAAGTAGTTGAGATATGCTTTGGACTATTGACTACGCTATATTATTTACATAACGGTACTAAAAGGATATAGTGACGTTACAAGAATATTTATTATTATGGAATTGAAATCTACTAGTTAATATATATTCACACTCAATGGCAGAATTATATCATGAAAATCCTTTAAGTAAACTCCATCACAAGATAAATGATGAAATTGGAGTTTATTGTGGTTAAAAAATCTAAAGAGGAAGCTAAATGATTTCAGAATTTCTTAAAAAATATTTCATATTGACCAAAACCAATGTTATTAAATTGTTTCAATTGCAACGACTAATCTGCAATTACAAAGACACAAGGTAATGTGTACACACTTGCTTTTAAATTGAATTATTTTATTAATTATGTAAATTTAAAAAAGAAGATATATTAGAACTGCTAACTAAAAGTTTATTAAGAGAACTTTTGTATAATTCATCGAGAGAAATGAGATTTAAATTTTTTATTAAGAGAACTTTTGTATAATTCATCAAGAGAAATGAGATTTAAATTTTTTATAATAATAATAATAATAATAATGGAACCATACCTAATTTATCAAAGATTTTAAGATTTATATTAAAATGAAAAACTAAAGCATATAACTTTTTTGGTAGAACTCATAAAATATTATTTCTTGTTTACTCATATAATAAAACATGTAGTAGTTATAGAGTGATATAGGGCGAGCTATGTTTTTGATAATTTTCATATCTTAGTATACCATATGAAGTATAGAAAAATATTTTTAATGAAAGATTACCTATATAAATGATCAATATGATTATTTCTTTGAAAAGTTTGATAAAATGATGAATTTCCTAAAGTACTCATGAATCCAAAGAATTGTTTAATGTTAAAATAAACACAATGGTTAAAAATAAAAGAAAATATCTAGAAAAAAACCATGTGAAAGATATTATATTGGTTTATACAAAAAATTAAATAGTTTAATTTATTAAATTCATTATTTAACCGAGTACATTTAATAATATTTTATTAAGAAAGGTTTAAAGCTAAAAATTACTCATAAGGACATTCTTATGTAATGATCCCCCAAATCATTGTATCTCTATATATATTTCAGTCTTTTATACTAATAAGATAATTTCATTTATGTGAGGGAATATTGAGAGTTTTTTTAATAAAATATAGATAATAAACATGTTTGAGTTTAGATTTAAAGTGAGTTTCACTACTTTTAGACCTAAGACTTTGTTGAAAATTATTTTTATATAAAATTTTTTTAATAAAAAATATTAACATAATTAAAATAAATTATAAGTGAATAAAAAATTGATCTAAAAACTCTTGGTGGACATGTTTATTAAAACCCAAAAACTTATATGACACATAGAAAATATACAAGGTTGTTTGATGTCTATTTAAGAGGAAGTAGTAAGGATATAAATAAACCTAAGTAATTTGATATGGGTTTTGCCCACTTGCAAGTGCTTGGCTCGACTCAAGCTAGGGTCTTTAGGTTTTTTTATGATTTTAAAAATTTATTTTTGCCAACTTATTATTTTATTCAGTTTCAGTCCATAAATTTGATCAATTTTCTTTTCAAAAATTCTTTTTAAACCTCTTAAGTATTTTGTTTTGCAAGAAAAAAAATCAAATCTAAAGCTAAATTATTAAGGTTTAATTCTAGTTTTATAAGTGGTAATTAAAGCCGATAATAGTGAGAATTAATTCTTACATCAGTTTTGGTTTAAAAATCTACTATAAAAAGATGATGGATTGAAGAAAGAGTTTTCAATATTATTTTTTAAAAATTTATAAACTTTTTCAAATTTATTTTAAATTTTGATTTCTTTTCTAAATATATAGCTTATTTTAACTTTGATTAATATACCTTATTTCTTATTTAATTCCTTTTTATTTATCTAGTGGCCTACTCTTGATCCATATTCATGTGTGTTACTCGAACTTCAATGGCATTATCCAAATAATTATTATTTTCAAATCTCTAGCTCCTAATTAATTTCAACCAACTAACTAATTGAGTTTAATAACATGAATCATATGTTTAACATGTTCTTTGGTCTTCAAGCCTTCCATAGTTCTGCAACTATTAGTATCCTTCATTCTAGCTGCTGCTGTTATTTGTTTTCATTCTATCATATCCATCTTTGATTATAATATATAGAATTTGCAGAATGTAATAATACCCTTCTCTTAAAGAGACTCTTTAAATTTCTAATGAAAGTTTTGCATTTTTTAATTTAATTTTTTATATTGTTATTAATAATATTTTAAATTAAATTATTGTTGTTTATTATTTTAAATTAAATTATTTGCTTCAAGTTCAAGTTAGCCTCTAATACCGGACGTTATAAGGTATTAGCTTAACAATAATTCTTTTCCCTTTCCTTTTATTTTTATTTTTTATCTCTCTTGTTCCATAGTGTATTTTATTTATGCCTTCAATTCTTTGAAAGGCATCAAATTGCATAGCGTACCTTGTGATGAAAATCAATGCCATTACCAGTTTGTGCAGTCAAGTGAACTTTTTGATGTTATGCAAATAGATTGATGCTGCAGCTATTTAGTAGCCAATGATGTCCCTTCAATGTCACATCCTCGTCTCCACCTCGCCTTTGAAGCACCTTACCTTTGAAGTTGATTTGCTAGTTGCCGCCTCAAGTTCTTTTGATGTATAATATAATTATTAGTAAAAATAATTAAATAATAGTGTATTAGTTAACTAGGCAATTTTTTAAAATATTTTTTATTTTAAAAAATATATTAATAATATTTTTTAATTTTTTAAATTTTTTTGAGATTAACATATTAAAATAATTTAAAAATATTAAAAATATACTAATTTAACATAAAAAATTTAATTTTTTTCAAAAATACTTTTTAAACATAATATTAAACAATGTTCTAATATAAAAAAAATAAAACAATCAAGTAAAAACAAAAATACCTCTAGCATCTCATGTTTCTTAAGAAGGTGATTGAAAGTATTGTAATTATTTTTTAATGTATTTTTTTGTTTATAAATATATTAAAATAATATATTTTTTAATTTTTAAAATTTATTTTTAATATTAATACATTAAAATAATTTAAAAACATAAAAAAAATTAAATTTAAACTGAAAAATGAATTGCGACCGACATTAGTTTGTGAGCAAATGCAAGCAAGGATGATTCTTGACATTTTCCCTGGAAAATCACGAGAAAAGAAAAGAATGAGAATAAATAAAAATAAAAAAAGTAAAGAAAAAGAAACCTTCCCTTGTAAGGGAATTAAATAACTGACAAGAAGTCGCACAACACGTACACGTGTGTTGATGCGTTCTATATAACTGCATCACTCACAGGCAAAGGCGAAGGCGAAAGGCGAAGGCGAAGGCCGATGCCATTTAAAAGAAGCAGGAGGCGAGAGACGCCTGCAATGTACAAATCAAAGCTTCAAGAAGTGTGCCAGCAGAGAGGATGGAAGTTGCCTGCCTATCAAGTCACTAAGCAAGGACAAGATCACAAGCCTCTCTTTTCAGCCACCGTCACCGTCAACGCCATCTCCTTTTCCTCTCCTTCTCCCTCTTCTTCCTCTAAGAAAGCTCAAAGCGACGCTGCTAAACTCGCCTATGACCACTTCTCTCTCATCTCCTCCTCCTCCTCCTCCTCCTCCCTTTCTGGTAATTGAATTCGTAATTTTGTCTCTTTGAATGTAATGAAATTCCTTCGTGAATTAATGTCTGATTAAGAATCAATGCTTGCATAATAACCTTTAATTATTATAATTTATAGATATTTATATTAATTAATTATCATTTCCATGTTGTTTTGTTAATAGAATGTATTGAATGATTGATTGATGCCTGTAATCATGAAGCTTTTTATGATAAATCATTCTAGTGTTGCTTATGCTTATTAACACTGCATCAAGAAATTAGTAAACTGATGTTATGCTGAAGTTTCTACAGGCTGTTCGGGTGGAAGTGCTGGGGAGAATACTAGTCAATCTCATGAAAATCCAACTCCCCTGTCAAATACAAATCCAACTCCCCTGTCAAATGAAGCCGTGGCAGTTGTCATAAATGATGAGAGTTTTGAAGGTAAGAGCAAATTTAGTATTGATTTTTTCCTTACAAAATCATTAAACATTTCTTAGTGCTCGAGTGGAGTCAGTTGGATGTGCTTGATACTGATGGTTGCATTCAAAAACGGCAGCCAATTGTTTTGGAAATAATAGGTTTCCATTCTAAATTGACAGGCATGAAAAGAGGTTATATACACAGCATCTAGAATTTTTTTTGCTAAATCAGTTGTCTTTATGGTGTCAAAAGATAACGTACATAACCAACTTGCTTAAAAAAATAAAAATTGTTCGTAGTCAGCTTAATTTTTACCAGTGCTCCCTCTTCCTGGTGCAGCTGCCATGCAATTTTTCTAATGGGATCTTTTTTAAGGAAATGCTATGGGCACTCATGAGTGTCCAACTCCTGATTCGCAGATAGCCTGGTAGTCTCCATGGTGCTTGTAGTCAACACATAGCCTAGCTCACAGGTTTCAGATACCCGCAAGTGTCCGTGATGCTCTCTCTCATTCTATACAAAACTTTATGGAAACATTCCATTTCTTGCTATAACCATATATGAGGGATGCGTAACAAATTGTAAACAGTAATTGGGTCCCAAAAATGGTCATATTGGGGTCTGATAGACTGTTTGGCAATGGAGCATGATGGCAGTACACTTGGAACGACTTTTTTCTCCCCTAGTTTGTCTTGCATATTCCCTCTTCATTGTCAATAACCTTCTCTCTGTAGCTGCTTTAATTCATTCACTAACTATAAACTAGAATCATAGGATGGGAGTTCACTACCTGTAAAGCACTAAACTAGGACAAGATCACAGCCCTCTCTTTTTTGCCACCGTCACCATCAACACTGCCCTCTTTTCCTCTCCTTTTCCCTCTTCTTCCTCTAGGAAAGCTCAAAACAACGCTGCTAAGCTCACCTATAACCACTTCTCCCTCCTCTCCCGCCCTTTATGGTAATTGAATCCCATTTGTTTCTTTGTAATGCTTCATTTCTTCTCTTTTTTATATTTCCTTGTGCTTTAATTGCGTTGTATCAGATATTTTAAAGACTTTTTTAGGTTACTTATTTTAATGAAATGAAATTACTTTGTAAATTAATGTTTGATTAAGAATGAATGCTTGCATAATAGTGTTTGATTGTTAATAGAATGTATTGAATGATGCCTGTAATCATAAAGCTTTTTATGATAAATCATTCTAGTGGTGCCTACGCTTATTTACACTGCATCAAGAAATGAAGAAACTGATGTTATGCTGAAGTTTCTGTAGGTTGCCCGAGTGGAAGTGCTGGGGCGAATACTCGTCTATCTCCCAGAGGGAAATTGCAACTAAACTTACAAGATGCAAGTCCAACTCCCCTTTCAAATGAAGCCGTGGCAGTTGCCATAAATGATGAGAGTTTTGAAGGTGAGAGCAAATTTAGTATTGATTTTTTCCTTACAAAATCGTTAAACGTTTCTTAGTGCTGGGGTGGAGTCAGATGGATGTGCTTGATACTGATGGTTGCATTCAAAAACACCAACCAATTGTTATGGAAATAATAGGTTTTCCATTCTGAATTGAGAGGCATGAAAACAGGATATATACACAGCATCTAGAATTTTTTTTGCTAAATCAGTTGTCTTTATGGTGTAAAAAAATAACCTACATGACCAACCTGCTTTAAAAAAAAAAAAACTGTTCGTAGTCAACTTAATTTTTACCAGTGTTCCCTCTCTTATGATCTTCCTGGAGCTGCTGCCATGCATTTTTCTAACAGGATCTATTTTAAGGAAATGCTATGGACACACATGAGTGCCTAACTCGCAGATATCCTGGTTGGGTCCATGGTGTTTGTAGTCCACACATAGTCTAGCTCACAGGTTTCAGATACCCGCAAGTGTCTGTGATTCTCTCTCTTTCTAAACAAAACTTTATGGAAACATTCGACTTATTGCTATAACCATATTTGTGAGGTGCATAATAAATTATAAACTGTAATTGGGTCCTAAAAATGGTCATATTGGGGTTTGATAGCCTGTTTAGCAAAGGAGCATGATGGCACTCCACTTGAAACAAGGCTTTTGTTCCCCATTTTCTCTTCTTTCATGTTTCCTCTTAATTAACAATAACCTACTCTGTGTAGCCATTTTAATTCATTCACTAACTATAAACCAGAATCATAGGATGGGAGTTCCCTACATCTGAAGTCGCTAAACTGGAACAAGATCACAGCCCTCTCTTTTTTGCCACGTCACCATCAACACTGCCCTGTTGTACTCTCCTTCCCCCTCTTCTTCCTATAAGAAAGCTCAAAACAACGCAGCTAAGCTCACCTATAACCACTTCTCCCTCGTCTCCAGCCCTTTATGGTAATTGAATCCCTTTTGTTTCTTTGTAACGCTTCATTTCTTCCCTTTTTTATATTTCCTTGTGCTTTAATTGCACTGTATCAGATATTTTAAAGACTTTTTTAGGTTACTTATTTAATGAAATGAAATTACCTTGTAAATTAATGTTTGATTAAGAATGAATACTTGCATAATAACATTTGATTGTTATAATTTATTTTTTTTGTTAATATACTTGTAGTCATGAAGCTTGTTATGATAAATCAATCTATTGGTGGCTATTCTTACTTACACTGCATCAAGAAATGTAGAAACTGATGTTACGCTAAAGTTTCTGCAGGTTTTTCAAGTGGAAGTGCTGGGGGGAATTCTTGTCTATCTCCCGGAGGGAAATTGCAATTAAACCTACAAGTTGCAAATCCAACTCCCCTGTCAAATGAAGCCGTGGCAGTTTCCATAAATGATGAGAGTTTTGAAGGTAAGAGCAAATTTAGTATTGATTTTTTCCTTACAAAATCATTAAACGTTTCTTAGTACTGGAGTGGAGCCAGTTGGATGTGCTTGATACTAATGGTTGCATTCAGAAACAGCAGCCAATTGTTTTGGAAATAATAGGTTTTCCATTCTAAATTGACAGGCATGAAAAGAGGTTATATACGCAGCATCTAGAATTGTTTTTTGCTAAATCAGTTGTCTTTATG